GTATACTCTGCTTCATTCATTGGAAAACATGCATATTTATAAAGCCCAACTTTGCAATTGAAAATGTACCAACGAGAAGATCTTTCTTCAAATTTTAATTGTTCTATATTGAAGATTATAAATGAATAGTTGTTTACTTTGTTAATCAAACAATAAAGTTAAAATAAATAATAAATAAAAAATTGCTCACCTTAAAAGCCATTCCTAGAATCGATGAAAAGAAGTCACGAGCTTCTCCATAATAATTGTTGGGATAAGCTATATCTAACGGATAATCATATGCATCAATTAAAATTATGCATCTTTGATTGTAATATGCTTTCAGCAGTAAGAATGATCATATAGAGAATATATTATAAGATTGTTTCTGTATATTTGTCCATTGCAACTATGTCGTTAAATCGTTTTTTATCACTTTGATCCATATATATGAAATAAGTCTAGTACTCGGTTCCAGTCTGAGGGGGATCCTATCCCTATTGTTAGGTATATATATTTATGCTCTTGAAGAGCCTTGCTAACTCTTCATACAATCTGGCCTGCATCATTTTCCAACTTCGGCAGTTGTCATAATTCTGTTAATGAGAACAAAAGAAGTAGATTAGCACCACATACAAAGCCGTTTATAGTTGAATAGTGTTTAACGGTATCCCCTTCTCGGTTAGTTGTCCTCCACAATTAAACAAGCCAATTACAACACCGCATAATTTTAAGGTGACTAAAGTTGATCAATAAGATTTAATTTATCGACGTTAAACATCTAATCAACTTTAAACGGTCTAATTCGAGATGGGTCAATGTGCATTCAAGCATGCGTATTCAATGAAATGTGCACTTGCCACTACTACTCATAATCGCAGATTAACTAACATTCACGTACTTACGTTGTGAAAGTGTAAATCGACGCTAAGGTGGCTTGGGTCGGTTTATCCAAAATTGGTCTCGGTAATACCTACCATATATACCATATATACCATATAGATCAGATATGCCATATGTGCCATATATGCCAGATCTTGTAGATGTGGTATATCGACTAGATAGAGTAGAAATGTCAGAAAGCAGTTAAAAGTAGCAAAACATGTATATAAAGAGTCCAAAACGTATCTTGAATAAAATAACTTACAGAGTTTCAAAACTTCGAAATAAGAGTAGAAGTATTTGTCTATAAACTGTTGTACCCTTGTTGTTAAAAATCGTTCGTATTATCTTGTCTCTGTGACTCTTGCACATCGTTTGTCGTATTTAGTAAGAAAGAGACATTGTATTAGTACTACAAGTCCTTATGCCCCTGATTAAGTTCTTGATCAACGTCATTGTCCCTGATTCGTGAACCTGTGATACCGTGATCTTGTACCACATTTACGATTGGTAAATTTCGATCACAAGACCCAGCCGCGGTACTTACTAACGAAAGAAATCACGTAATAGTAAAGTAGTAGGAACAACGACTAAATCGCTGTAAACCCAGGTTACTCGGACCAAGTCTTTCCACGCCTCGATCGTTGCCTTACCAATATTAGGGTTTGGTTATTATAGTTATAGTGTTCTAGTTTGGATAGTTTAGTTAGTATTAGTGTTGTAGTGAGTTGTTCTATTTTCGGTCCAGTAATTTTTCCGACGTAACTCGCAAGTTTACAACGTATCTTAAAGGAAATGTGCATAACCGGATATTTGCAATAATATTTTTCAATAATGTCAACATGATCCATTACCTTTGTGCCACTAAATAACTCATAGCGGTAGCTAAAATTATCGGGAAAATTGGTGATTGAAAGAAAATCTTTAATCATGGAGACATTCGTGGACTTGGCAAACTGGCTTGGACGCACAATTACTGAAACAATAGTGTTTGATTCGATAAACTCCGCAATAAGTAGGGTTTTGTCAATTAATATGTATCCTCGAGATATAAGTTGACTAAAATTTGAAATGCCAGTAGACATGCTTTTGCCAGCAAAAATATTAGCGGCACCCCCTTTAATAGAATTAAAGATTTATTTATTAAAAAAAAAGTATAAATAACATTATAATTGAAGTCATATACATACACTTAATAATCGTTTGTTTCTTTACAAAAGTCACTAGAAAATTAATTAACTGGATTAGAGTGTATTTGATGCAAATATAAAATAAAAAATAATAGTAATGATATATACTCATTTGATCTTGTCTCTTGTCCATTGATCGGGTTAAAGATTCATTTGCGTTTTCTTCATACTAAATATAATAAAAAAATCAAATTTTCCTTTTATCATATAATGAACATCTATTAGGCAATATTAGAGTAGTAAACATAAGAATCCTAATAATAAGAAAACTACATAGCAGGTTTTTTCTTCCAGAATCACGAAGCTTATTTAAAGAAACTTTTTGGATTTGCATTTTGCGCAAACGAATCAATTTTTTTCTCTCACTTCTAGCTCTTGAAATAATCATAAAATGCAGTCCAAAATGATCATTGCACTTACGTTATTATTTGATAGCTTCTGTTTCTTGGCTGAGTTGACCGGAGGAGGAGTATTTTCTTTTTCGTCATTCTAGTGTAAGATAAAAAAAATTAACAAATATTCGTTAAACAACAAATGAATAGTACGAGAGTCATCTAAATCTTTATGGAAAAAATACACATTTACCTATCTCTAGTCTTGCTACAAACACAATCAGCAAAATAAATTTCATAGCTTTATAATTTTAAATAAAGGTTCCAAAAGTGGTGTGATTTGACTCGATGACTCTCATTATGTTTTTTATGACTACCGAACGAATCACTTGTCGTTCTGGCTGCTGGCTCTTGAAATAATCCCCAAAAGCAATACTATTAGACAATTGCTTACATTACAATTCGTCTTCTGTTTTTTGGTTGATTGATTTTGGAAGTATTTTTCTTTTCATTATTCTAAATGTAAGAAAATCAATTTATAAATAGTAAACATAAGAATCTTTAAAAAAAAAAGTGGTAGACTCCTTTTCCAAAATCGCAGTCCTTATTTAAAGAAACTTTTTTGAATTCGTGCGAGCCATCTGAAGATATCCAAATTGCTAAGGATCCTACTGCACACAAAAGCAGTACATACACGTATGTACACACTTTTAGCCAATACGAAAAAAATATTTCTATAATTAGCGCATTGTGACTAAATGACTCACTAAACTTTCAATGACTACCGACGAATCACTTGTCGTCCTGGCGGCTGGCTCTCAAAATAATCACAAAAGCAATCCAAAATGATTACTATTAAACGATATGCTATATGCTTACATTACTACTCATTGGCTTCTGTTTTTCAGTTGATCGGATCGGTGGTGTGTTTTTGTCATTCTGTTTTTCCATATTTGCTTTAAACCCTTGAAGATCTGATGGGTATTTAAAAATAATAATAACAATGAATAAAAATTTGAAATTTAAGAATATGTTTGTGTTTTTAAATCTTTTAAAAGGTAATAGGTGATGTTAGAAGAATAATGATGAGAAAAATTCTGATGGGTGTTATATATTACTGTGAAAAATTGTTGGCCAATCAAGATTTGATTACAGTGTAACAAAAAATGCACAGCAGATCCACGGTTTTAATTGGCTGTTATATGAATTCCAAAGACGCGAAATTACAATCAAATACTTATTTCTGCAAGTGATACAAATCCCAAAAAGGAAATTTGTATATGTAGATCGCAAGATCAGGTGCGATTCCCAACAGGGTTAACGTCACAAATAAGGAAATGATGATCCCGATAGTAAATGTTTATCCACGTGTTGATTAGCCAATAAAATCGTAAACTTTTATAACGAAATGAATTAAAATTTATAATAAAAGTCAAAAAAATAATACCGCTATAGGTAAAAGCATGATGGAAAGTCGTTTTTATTGGCTAATGTGATACAACAGTAACGTCGATCGTTACACAATTATTTATATTAGTTTTAGAGTACCCCCTATAAGAAAATGTAATCGCTCATATGACAAGTCGCCGTATATGTCACTTATGAGCGAATAACTTTCAGAATATATTGGTCTTTGGCCTTACTAGCGGCTGGCAAATTTAATCAGATATAATCAGATTCCCGGGTGACTTCTACTAATGCCGCATTTTTACTATTAGCCTAATAGTATATAGCTAAATAGGCTTGGGAAGTACTTTTTTTTTTCTAGAAAGCGTTACTTCAACAGCTAATCTATTCTTAAAAACTTGTAATCAAGCTGCCTTAGGTGATTACAAGAGAGATCTGAATGATCTATAAAAGGTAGTTCTTTGTAAGGCATAAGAACTATTAAGTAAAAGCATTTAACAGTATTTAAAGATTTACTTTCTGTTAAAGATGCTTGACGAAACTATTTTTGAATTGACGAATGGTTTCGTCAAATGATGATACAGACGAATCGCTGACGATTGATGAAACCGTTGACGATTGACGAAACCATTGACGATTGATGAAACCATTGATGAAACTACTATTTATTATAAAAAATAAAAAATTACACTATAAAAGAGATAATATATAGCTTTATTTATTATCTTTTTAACCTTTTATGACATATTTCTTAAGTGTTAAATGTAATGTATTTTTTTTGTATCGGTAGTTTTTTCGTCAGATATCCTCGGGGGATCGACACATTGATCGACATCTTGATCGGGTAATGTCGGATGCGTTTATAAAAAAAAGAAAAATAACCAATAAAAGTAGAAATGAGTAGATATGATATTGCAAATAAAAAGATTAACCTCGCATAGATCGATTTGTTTCCATTATAAAAGAAAAAAATAATTTCTTATAATTCATTAATCATCACGGGCTTCGTCATGGGTTTCATCATTCGTCATAGGTTTCGTCATTTGTCAATCGTCATTCAGAAAATTGCTTGACGAATGGTTTCGTCATTCGTCAATGACGAATGCTTCGTCATTCGTTAGGCATCTTTACTTTTTGTAATGTGAAATTTTTTTAAAGCATTAATGGCTAATATGGTTTGAAATTTTTAATTGAAATAATGTTCACACATTACCAAAAATCAGCAGACATGAGGAATTTTAATGGAAAATATTGAGTTGATTATTGTTATTATTTAGAAATTGGCAATGAAATCAATAAGCAAAAAGCATTTTCATATTATCTGAAGTCTGGTAATTCTATATAAATTCAGAAAACTGCTGTTTGTAGTTGTTATAAAAAAAATCCAAATAGTATTTAATTGATGAATATTGGTTAAGTGATAAATAAATATCATAAATTTGGTTTGAGAACAAATGGTTAGCTGACATGTGCTATGCAGCAGCACATTTCAGCAACTATTTGTTCTGCAAAACAAATTTTATGATATTTATCCATCACATAATTCAATATCAATACTATTATGCAATTATAATTATATTTTATATGTTATTATTGGCTAATTAAGTTTAATTCAAGACTGTTATATTTATGTAATTATATTTATTTGAATAACTATTAAATAATAATGATATTTTTAAAAAATATTAAATAATGATATTATTAATTAATAATAATTATTTATAAATAAATAACTAAATAAATCAATTTTAAAAAAATAGAAGATGGGTTTTGAGATAGTTGATGCAATAATTATATTAGTTTTAAAGTACATTTATTTATCACCTAGAGTAAAATCTCATTCCTAAATTCACCAATAAATTTGCAGGATCATATGCAATATTTGTGTAATAAAACAAAGAATTTTTTAAAAAAAATACTAATATTTCAAAATTTTGCCTATGAAACTACTTTTTGGGCTTTAAATAAAAAATTCATTGCTAAATTTTATATATAATTCCTAACTCTAAAATATCAAAAAATGTTTTTAATAAGTGGGTGAAAAATTTACCTGGATAATAAATAAATTATTCCTTAGTTTTATTAGATTTAGAGATTATTTCAATAGATATATCATGTAGTTGATACATATTAATTATGAAAATTAAATAGTAATTCAGGGTTATTAATTTAGATCTAATTATAAAAGTTACAATAATGGAATTATTATAATATCTTTTGGGTTTTTAGTTAGAAATAATCTATCAACACATTATCCACATAGCTTATCTTGCTTATTGGCATAGTAAAGTTGATATTATCATCATCATTTAGTTATTGTACTTCAAGAAATTAAGTAGATTGAAAAATAAAATGTCAACTATTGTGCCAATAAGAAAGATTAATCATGTGAATGCTATGTAGTAGACTGCCTCTTTTAGTTTTTTATAAATTGTAATTGCCAAATCATCTTATACTTATGTTTTTAATAAAATATTAATAAAGATAAATAAGATTAGAGAGCTTCTACTTATATGTAAATATAGCCCCTTTCAAAGTCAGTTATTTAACAATTACAAGTTTTAAAGTAATCAATTGTTTGACAATTGCATACTTTAAAATAACTAATTGTATAGATTTATATTATGATTACTTTAAAACTTGTAATTGTCAAATGATTAACTCTGAAGAAGGTTATATTTATATAATAAGTGGAAGTTTTCTTATTATACTTTAATAAAAACAAATTGCAGTATAATACTTATATTTTTAAAAATTTTGTTTTATATTTTTAATTTATTATTTTATTTTTTTGGTTTTAAAAGATAAGGCCTTTATTAAAATTATTAAGATTTTTTAAACAAATATCTATTTGTTTTTTCTATCCTATTTATTTTGAATCTTGTAAAATATCTATTAATCTATACTGCTTTAAAAACTATATTAAAGTCTCTTTTAGTAAGATACTTTATATTTGCAAATTTGTTAAAAGATATTTATTGTTAATTGGTTAGAAAGTATTTAGTAAAATTTTGTTTAATAGTAATCTGATATTAAGAACTATTAGTAGATTAAGACCTAAATATTTAGATCCAAATTGTTATTAAATTAATTATAAAATATATAAATAAAGATTTTATATAAATTCAAATAAAAATATTTTATTTATTAATTAATATAATTAAAAAACATACTATAATATCAAATATACAGTATATTTATAGCAATTCTATATTAAAAAAATAAATTACTAAATGTTTATTTTATTAATTAAATTTTGTAAATCTAATTTGATTTTTTTTCATTAATTTTAATATTTTCAGGATCTTCTATTAAATTACTTGTATCATCTTTTTATTTTCATCTTTATCTTCATCTTCTAAATCTTTAGTAGTATTACAGGGCTGTAGCCTTCTTAGTGAAATATAACCAAGTAACAAGGTCACCTGGTACAGTGATTGACTATTGCAAATATATATAGGGTGGAGGTGTAGTTGTTCACTTAACTACACAGCAGTAGGCAAACGTTTTGAGATAGTAACAGTATATAAAATAGCTTTATTTAATACAAAAATGGTGATAAGCCTTGCCTGTAAGAATTACCCTAAAGGAGGAATATCACACTTTACAAGATAAGAAGAGGATAAAGGATATCAGAGTCTAAGTGAAGTGTAGGAACTTAAGAATTGGCAGGAAGGGGGAAAAGGCACCCTTTATATATTTTTTCTGCCCAAAGCAAAGGTACACAGTGTGCAAGGGGACATTGGAGGATGAGTAACATTAGTGGGAGAAGTTGGGGGATTGTGTCGGAAGAAGTTGGAAGATTGTACTGAGGGAAGTTGGGGGATTGTATTGGGGGAAGTTGGAAAATATAAACATTACTTGATTTGTTTATATTTATTTATTGTTTGCAAAGGGGAACCTGGGAGAAGGGAACTTGGAGGACTTTGCGATGCAATGTGGGGCTTGCAACATAATACCTTGTGTTTATAACACTTAGGATTTCGCATGGAGAATCTGGGGGATTCCGTGTAGAGAACTTGAAGGAAATTGTGTTACTCTTTTGTGTTACTTTTTGTGTAACCTAAAGTACACTTTCGTATAACCTTGTGTTACCTTAGGTCATGTGAGGTCATGTGACTGCGCCACACTTCCAATAGCCAATCAAATTATTCCTATATATCGACTATAAAATTACTATCTAATATAATATAATAATATACAATATAAGAATATACTAAATATAACTAAGAATAAACTAACTAATAATATATATAATAATGAATAATACTAAGATAAAAATAACTTAAATTTCTATACCAAATGCTATACTAAAATCTACTTTGTAACAATAGTATTATTATTAGTATTTTGGTAGTATTGGAATTTTGATGTCAGGATTTTGTTTATTAGGATTTTGTATATCAAGATTTTGAATATCAGAATTTTGTAGTATAACCTTAAATTTCTAATTAACAGATCCACAACTCTCCCTAACGATTACTCAGATACAAAAACAAGCAAAAGCAAAATTGATAAAAACTCAACAAAAGCTATAGAAAATG